GGGGTTGTCTGTATGTGTTTGTGTGTGTGTGTGTGTGTGTCCGCAGCAACTTGTCCGCAACTTTCAATTTGGGAACCACAAAAGCTAGGAAGCTGGAAATTTAGGGGAACGTTCCCTACCCACGTGTGACCCCGCAATTTTAAATTCAGCTTCCCCGTACCCGCGGGTAACACGTATGGCCACGTGAAAGTTTTTTACGGGTAAATTAATATCTCGGGAACCACGGAGTCTAGGAGGCTGAAATTTTAGGGTGATGACCCCCTGCCCACGCTGAACCTTGCCCGTTCAAATTCAGCCTTCCAGCACGTACGGCTCTGTGAGAGTTTTTTACGGGTAAATTATCTCGGGAGCCACAAGGTCTAGGGAGCTGAAATTTCAGGGTAATGACCCCCTCCCCTCGCTCAATTTTGCCTATTCAAATTCAGCGTTCCCGTGCTCTTGAATATCATCTACGGCTTCGTGAAAATTTTGGCGGGTAAACTAATAACTAGGGAATCACAGAAAGATATTCACCCTTCAAGGTTCCGAATTCAGCTTTCATGTGCTCGTGCGTGAAATTTTTAACTGTTTTCCAATGTTTGAACTATTTCTGCATAGACTAAAGTACAAAGCAGTGAAAATCATTAATAGGCGAATTCGTTGGGCTGAATTGCACAAAACGCATGATCGCACCGGCTAGTCTGGTGCGCAGTGGTATTTATTAACTTTGTGTACGAGGCCCCTGTTTTTTCGGTCTTTGTGCGCGAGATTTTATAATTTAGGAGATCAGTTATAGGGATCCTCAAAATTGAAATCGTCTGTTGTGATGTTCCAGAATCCGTAATTTGCGGTATAAAAATCAAAGAAATGATGAGCATCCAGCGAAGGGTAATAAATATTGCAGGAGAGCTGAACCCGTCATACTTACTCGGCTGCTTGTTTTTTATGCGTTATATACGCAAATGCAAAAACGTATATTGTGACGACCCATGGTTTGCGCATATATATATATATATATATATGTGTTATATGTATATGTATATTGTATACACATATATATGTATATATATATATGTGTGTGAAGTATGTATGTATGTATG